AGAAGGTAAAGGAAAGATGAAGGAAAGATGAAGGAAAGACGAGGGAAAGGCGAGGGACAGGCTAGGGAAAGGTAAGGAGAAGGTAAAGGAAAGACAAAGGAAAGACTAGGGAGATTAATGGAAAGAAGGAAAGGGAAAGATAAGGAAAGATGAGAGAAAGGCAAGGGAAAGGATAGGGAGAGGATAGGAAAAGGTGAGGAAAAGTTAATGGAAAGAAGGAAAGGTGAGGGAAAGATAACGGAATGATGAGGGAAAGACTAGGGAAAGGTGAAAGACAGCCAAGGAAAAGAAAAGGGAAAGGTAACAGGAAGATGTGGGAAAGGAGACAGGTGAGAGACAGGTTAGGGAAAGGAGAGGGAGAGATAATGGAAAGACAAGGGAAAGATGAGGGAATGGCGATGGAAAGGTGAGGGACAGGTTTGGGAAAGGCGAGGGAAAGAATGTAAAGATGAGGGAAAGGCGAGGGAAAGATAATGGAATGATGAAGAAAAGGAGAGGGACATGCGAGAGAAAGGCGAGGGACAGGATATGGAAAGGCAAGAGAAAGAAAATGGAAAGACGAGGGAAAGGTGAGGGAAAGGCAAGGGTCAGGCGAGGGACAGGATAGGGAAACGAAAGATACAATAACTGAATGACAAGGGAAAGATGAGATAAAGTTGGGGGATAGGAGAGGGACAGGATAGGGAATGGCGAGCAAAAGATAATGGGAAGAAGAAGGAAAGGCAAGGGAAAGGAGAAGGGAAAGGAGAGGGAAAGATAACAGATGAAGGAAAGACGAGGGAAAGGAGAAAGAAAGGTGAGGGAAATCTAATGGAAAGACAAGGGAAAGGATAGGGACAGGACAGGGAAAGGCAAGGGAAAGATAAGGAAAGATGAGTGAAAGGCAAGGGAAAGGAGAGGGCAAGATAATGGAATGACAAGGGAAAGATGAGAGAAAGGCAAGAGACAGCCAACGAAAATACAAGGGAAAGGTAAAGGAAAGACAACAGAAGGGGGAGGGACAGTGTAGG